AGACTATGGCCCGATTCCCCTCGTACGGAAGGGAGGCCCGTGCTCAGCAGTGAGACGTTAAAAAGGACTGAATACAATTTGTGGTAGAATTATTTTTAAAATTTAAAAAGTATTTCAATATTATACGGCTAGCATCGACGGCTGTGGATTTAGAGTTCCTTAGTTCGAATCCCGGTCGGGCCAAGAAAATTGTAGAATGTCATCTCGTCTAGCCTTCACGGTAAAAATATTTAAATATATTGATACAATAACCGGTCCGACCATCATTCGATTTAATAATTCGTTTTGCATATTGATTATATTATAGCGTGACTAACGCCCGATTTCACTAACGTCCCTAAGCATAGTTAGAGGGCTGTTAGGGGACAGTTTCTGTTTCACCGTCAGTTAGGGGTCACCGAAATGTTAAAATACCACCTAAATATAGGTACTAGAAATACGGGCTCTGACGATGGTAAAACGAAATTTAATTTAGGGGATAGTTTAGGGGACTTTTAAGCTAGGGATCCCATACGTAGGTGGTAGCTTATGGGTTGTTGGTGAAATCGGACATAAATATAGTAGCCAAGAAAACCTCCATTTATAGAAAAGATATTTAAAACATCACCGCTTCAATATTCATCAATGGATAAAAGTAACAAAAATCAATTAATATGACACGTAAAGGCTTTTCAATTTAAATGTTATTTACTAAAGGGCTTGCCATCGATCAAAAGTGTTTTTTGATCTATGGGGTTTCCCATAAATGTTCACTTAATAATAATTCAAAATATACATACTTCTACACTAATATTATAAATGTAAAAGTTTGTGAGTATGGATGTTTGTTACTCTTTCACGCCAGAACGGCGGAACGGATCTGGATGAAAGGCACAGAGATAGATTATAGTCTGGAATAAAACATAGGCTACTTTTCATCCCGGTAAATGTACGGTTCCTGTGGGATAGGTTTGTTTTTTTTCCTAGAGGCGAATCCGAGCGAAGGGAGGGTGAGCCGCTAGTATTAGAATAAATCTGTACTAACAAATCTTTGCAAAATGTAGGTATTAAAAAAAACAAACAATTCACACGAGGCGCATTTATTGAAAAAAACTTAATTCACTACAGAAACCTGTCTTTCCGGATACAAGATGTTTTTGTTAATTTATTTAAATACAAGTTGAAATATTACAATGCTAGTAATTAATAACACATTTAAATGATATATATTATAATATATAATACGCGAAAAGATCACGTAAAGCGGTTTTCACACAACACATGCCGTTGGTCAGAATTCAAATTAGGACCTATACACACCACATATTTTAAACGCACGTCGTCTACGCAAATTCTGCGCGTATTTTGCTGCACACGTTTCATAAACGCGACAAAACGCGTTAATTTAACTAAGTCCTCTGCGTATATTGGCACTGATAAATAAAAAATGTAGTTAACTGCGTTCGCATCTATGCAAAGGGTCGAGAGTGCGTTAAAAAGTAGTTGTGTGGATAGGCCCTAAAATATATACCACATACATTTCTGTGTTATGTGGAAGCCTCTCAATATCTACAACATTTATACCATTACATCAATCACTTTATATAGACACGTAACGAAAATATGTAATTTATTCACTAGTTACATATACATAAAATTGAGATACATTAATATCAGCAATTTTTTTTTTTAAGTTAAAGAATCTGATTTACGAAATGATAAATTATGCGATTTTACTTATAACACTTCCATGGTAATTACACATCTGATATATTCATGAAATGAAAACGATTAACATATTTTAAAGTAGGTACAACATAATTTTTTTCTGAGCCTAGTTAGTGTATATAATTATCAATACAAGAAAAACACTCGAAGAATAGTTACTAATATAGAAAGAGGCTATATACCAAACATAAAAATTTGCTTTGAATTAATCAGACTTTTATTATAAATGCACACATTATGTGTGTGTATGTCCTGCACGCTTGAAACGGCTGGACGGTTTTTTATGAAATATAGTGCACAGATAGTTTATAACTTGGAGTAGCACACAGGCGACTTTTAGACACCTAGGCACGAGATTATAAGCCTCTTTATGCAAAACAATTATATAATCTTACTAATGTTATAAATGTGAAAGTTTTTATGTTTGGATGTTTGTTCCACAATCACGCCAGAACGGCTGAACGAATCTGGATGAAATTTGGCACAGATATAAATTATAGTCTGAAATAGCACATAGGCTAAAAAAATGTATGGTTCCCGTTGGATAATTTGTTTTTGTTTTTCTAGAGGCGAATCCGAGCGAAGCGAGTGTGAGCCGCTAGTATGATATAATTTCAAAAATAGCTGCAATAAATTAAATAACTTTCATTGAATTCGAAACTAAATAACAATCAACAAAAAATAACAGTTATTTAGGAACTTTATAACAATCACACAAAAGTTAATGATATTATAGCAATGTGTTTTTTTTTGTATACCACCATAGTGACGGCATATTAATTTTATTTTTATTAATTGATGGTAAGCTATTAGTTTTTCAAATTTTTCATAGAAATGCATTTTTATTTTTGCTCTTTTTTTATATTTTAGTTTTTCATCATAGTGTAGTGATGTGACGAATGTTCGATTTTTCATATTCGCGAATGCGAAAATGTAGTTCCTTTTTGTTTGTAAAATACATTCGATAAACATTCGCACCGGTTCTTGCGAATATTTGTAAATTGTAAATGCGGATATTCGTTACATCACTATTATATGATTGTTTTGAATACGTGTTTCATGAAAGTATATTATTTATATTATACTTATACTGAGAATGACTGAAGTATCGCTCGCATAAATGCATCATATCATAAAACTAGATACCAATGTAGGTGACGATTTTTAAAAGGTGTAAAATTTGATGTGTTGCAACGTCTTATTGTGGCAAGTAAAAAAAAATACTATCTAGATATTTAGTAATTAGCGATTTGCACAAAATAAAACATTGAAACGTTAACTAAATCCTTAGGGCCTATGCACACGATAATTATGTACAGTATAAATTATATACAGTATTTATTATGTTAAATTAGTAGTATTAATAAAATAAAGTATGTAATATATGATATACCTTCTTATATAGATATCTGTTTATTCTCAAAATTTATTTATAAAAAATTTATGTATATATAAAATATTAGGTAATTTATTTAACGCGCCTGTCACGTGTTTGTATTGCTACGAACGCAAGCCCAGAATATATTCAAAAAACATACGTTAAAATACGCGAGTATCGGTGCCTTTATAAAACGTGTGTGCATAAGCCCTATCTTCTATACATATAATAAAATTCTGAGTCGAGTCTGTACATTACATATTTTTTGGAAAATCTTATTGAAATAGTTATTATTATCGATACAGAGGCCGAATCTATAGTTTTTAGATTTTTTGCCTGACTGTCTGTGACCGCATCACGAGAAAACCACTGGACAGATTTTGATGAAATTTGGTATGATGATAGCTGGTTATCCGGATCAACATAAAGGATTTTTTTTACTGCGGGAAAATATCTCGTCTCTGAGAAATCTATACTAAACGTTATAACGTAAATAATTTGAAAATCGAGATTATGGGAATTAAATGTTTTAAATAATTTCAAATTCATCCACGTACCTTATACATATAAATTTAAAAAAAAATAACTTAAAATATGATATAAAATAGAAGAGACCGAGTTTATACATTAATAAATATAATTACGATTACGAAAGTTGTACTGTACTCCATTCGCAGTAAAATCAAACCAACAGTCTTCAGAAATATCGTCACTTATGCTTGCTTAATTCAATCACACAAAAACGTTTGACCGGATTTCAAAGAATCGGTTTCATTATTAAAAATCCGTTTCAAAATTTCGTATAAATTGAGCCAAATAACATAAAAATACAGTTAAGAACAAGTCTTAAAGCTTTCGTGGCCTGACAATATTATTATGTTGTAAAACGAGACATTTGCCATGTTTTTCACTCAAACTAAAGAATCATAAAAAGAATGACACAAAACTAAACAAGAAGCCAAAAAATAATGTTTTAAAATAGTATACAAATGATAATTAGTATATTGATTGATAAGTAAATAAATGTTGATAAATAAAAACAGGTAACGGATTTCATTATAATAAAGAAAAAATATTAAATAAGCTAATATTATTATGTTCTCTGGGAAGGGAACTGATGTTTAAAATATATCCCATAATCTATGAAGAAGTTTTGACATTTTTTTGGCGGACTTCGGCTAATATAAATAATTTTATATTCTAAGGTTTTTCATTACTATTCACGGGCATGCCGTAGCCTGTACGATAACAGTGCCGAAATATCCGGGACAAATTAAAGTAAAAATATCATAACAATATGACCGTAATACTTTCTTAGATTTACACAAAACTTTGACCTATTCGGATTTTTTGACAGAAGAGAGGACCATGATTGCTGTAAATCATTCTTCGTACTACGGGAACTAAAAATCAAAATAAATCAGCGAAAAAAATTCCGAAGATTAGATCATTTACAGTTAGGATATTACAAATTTTAAAAGTTATACAAACATACATACTACACATACACTTATTCTGTAACAATATGTTTACATACATACGATGAGGTTAAGCGAAACGGTTTTCGTATATCGGTATCCCGCTGGATACCGTATTTTATGATTATATTTTGGTTACACCAGCGGTGACCAAAAACCAGATACGGCTATAAGAAACAGATTCGTTTTTTTAGTTAACCGGATCGTGTGAATGAAACAATTCACAAATCGTATACAGTTTGTCCAAATAAAAAATATATTAAATTATTAAATTGAACACATGTACGTTTTTTTGCCGATAAGGAAAAATGTATAGGAAAACCGGTTCGGTAAACCCGTTCTAAGATGTTCATTATTTTTTTATTTTTCTTTAAATTCTTTTTTTTATTATTATTAATTTTACGTTTTTTTTTTAGAACATGTTTAGCAGTAAATTAAACAAAGAACATGCGGCTGTTTTGCAACATACGATCCAAGACACGAAGACGTTGTGGTTGTCTCTCTAAGTCAGCATTATTGAAGCGTCTTTCACTGAAAAAATATATATCATTATCATATATATAAAATTTGCTAAATCAATTAAATAATTCTTCCAAATGCTTCCATAAATATTCTACTAAAGTACATTAGGTATATGGTAGCCCAGAGGTAACGCGCTCGCTTGAGAAACCGAGTAAAGCGGGTTCAAATCCCGGTCTCGCGCCTCTGATATTTTCATGTGCGAATCATTTCCACCATGATTACCAAACATCTTGCGGTAACCTGCATGTTTGAGAGAACCTAGCAAGTTTTCGAAAGACATGCTCAATCCGTCAACCCGCTCTTTGCCAGCGTGGGTTTACTATGGCCTGATCCCCTCGAAAGGAGGTCCGTGCCCAGCAGTGGGACTTTAAAAAGGGCTGAATTCATACATTACGTCGTCTCGGTGCTTATTTGTCTAAACGACTAATTTACCGAAAGAGTTTTTAATAAGAATTTATTGACTTTTAAATGTCAAAACTATTGGTAAAATACGCATTTTACTTTAAAAACGCCTAAAAGATGATATTTTATTTATATACGTAAATTCATCTTAAAAATAAAGCTTCGATTTTATAGTGAAACTAAAAAAAAACTGCTCTAAATTACAATAAATATTGGTAGTTTGAACAAATAATCACTAAGGCGATGCTTATAGTATGATTTTTAATTCGACGGAATTCTGACATTTCAGAAGTGTTGTCAACTTTGAAACATTGTCACTAAAAACGGAAAGCGTTTTAGCAAAATAAAAAAATAAACCTGTCTTGAATTTAAGGTTTCAATTAGAAAAACTAAGACTTAAAAAATTATTGCTAACTCTAAAATGTTAATTATTTTTTTTATTATCATATTATTGAAGTTACAATAATTATTAAGGAAATTAAATAGTCTATTACAGCAATCCCTGTCCAATAATCCATAGGTTGCGAGCCTTTTTTAGGAACACCCCTTTGTTTGTAAAATATTTTGTTTTACTCTGTTTTATTTATTTAACCATTAAAAATTTACATTATATTTAGCGTGCATTGAATGCACAAAACAAAAACTATTTACAATGTCATACATATAGTTTTGATTCTGTTTCATACTTTTTGTTATTTTATATTAAAAAAATTCAAAGAAGAAAAGTTTATGATATCTGAATAGTCAAAGAATGACTGCTGTCATATTTCCGTGGAATTAAAAATCAGACTATAGGTATGAATGTACATAATGGAGGGGTGTACATAGTGGAGGGGTGTACATAGGAAAGATGTGTACATAGTAGAGGTGTGTACATAGTGGTGTGTACATAGTAAAGGTGCGTACATAATAGAGGTGTGTACATAGTAAAGGTGCGTACATAATAGAGGTGTGTACATAGTGGAGGGTTGTACATAGTACAGTGGAGGGGGAGGGCGCGTACCTGGTGAGCGCGCGCGCGCGCAGACACGCGAGGTGCGCGTAGTAGGTGGGCGCGGGGTAGGAGACGGCGCGCGTGCAGCGCGCGTACAGGTGGCACAGGTAGTACGCCAGCTGCTCCACCTCGTCGCTGGGGATGTTGCCGTCGTTGCACACCACGTGGTAGCGCGTCGGCCGCGCCGTGCCCTTGATCGCTTGGTGGGAAACCTGTTATGTATATACAAGAATGTAAAATGCCTTGATATGACATCACAATAGCTAAATTTCTACTTATAAAAATACAATTATATATTTTCACCATTTTAGCGATATTCTTGCTTCGCTCGAGCGCTTTGATAAATGCTTTTTATATTTCGGTTTGTATGTATTTTTTAATGCTGAATCATATAAAAATTAAAATAAAAAATTGTGTCAAAAAAGCAAAAAAAAATTTTGGGGTGGACCACCCTTAACACTTAGGGGTATGAAAAATGGTTTACGTTTTTTTCTCAGACCTACTTAATATAATAAATTTCATAAGAATCGATCAAGCCGTTTCGGAGGAATTTTGTTACACACTGTGACACGAGAATTTTATATATTAGAAGATTTACTAGTATCGCCACCACAAGAGGTGCAAATTCTATTACTCATTGCAGCCTATGTTGATCAAGATCAGACCTATATGTGTACTAAATTCCATAAAATTCCTCCACCCATTACAACGTCAAAAAATAACAGACACTCGGACACACACATACAAATATTCACATTTATTTCATATATTCGTTACTACTATATTCGGTTTTTACTTACCAAATAAAAGTCCAGTTCGCGGAAATGCACAATATCAGTATCTACGACCGTTCCGGGCTCAACATTTTGTGGATTGTTGTCGCCTAAGAAGAACCTAATAAAAACAATAAATAAATTAAATTATATATAGAAAAATAACAGATCATTTACAAAAGTACATAAATAAGCTATCGCCAAAAAGCAAAGGATGTAAATATGTATGTATATTGAAGTATTAAAATATATAATAACATATAATATGGGTTTTAGGTTAATTCTTGTTTAAAATCGCAATCACAATACGAAAGAAGATTCAATTCAAACATATTGGACGTTATTCTTATGACATCACAAAAATGCTTCAGAAAACAATTGAGTACCCAAAAAAGCATGCTCAAAATAAAACTGTTTTTATTTCAGAAAAATATAGTTGACAATAATTAACATAAACGTTTTAAAAATTCTTAAGCAAAATATCAATCTTACCGCGTGTGATGACGTTTTTGGACAAGCAAGAACAGTATCTCGGGCTTAAAACGTTGCTCGAGACGGCTGTACGCTCTTTGCACTGCAACCAGTTCACTATTCATCACCTATAGAAAAATAATATGCACTATTAATTAAGACTTAAATTAGACGGCGGGAAAACTTTGGCTTTTATTTTCATATGAAGAGGGATAGAATAAAAAATGAATTTCAGCAAATATTAAGACGGAGGAATGTGCTAAGAAAAGATATGAAAACCTTATTTTGATACATAAGTTTTCTATATAAGTAAATAAACATTGACTGTATCAACTCACTCTATGGAATAAAACATAAATTCCAGTATTTTCAGAAATGCTAAATAAAACAAAAAGCTAGTTGTATAAATGTGGATAACTATTCATATAGTATATAAATAATTTTAGTTTTACTTTATTATTAGTTACCTGTGCAAATTGCCCTTCAGACACACCATCTCGGAATACAAATATCTTTTTTGGAAGTGCATTATGTTGATTCTTGTATATTTTCAGATGATCAAACATCATGTCCTCAAACTCCACTATTATTTCATGCTGTGAATAAGTTAATTATTAAATATTATAGTATTTAACTGACAATGTAAAAATGAAAACATTAATTGCATCATTAAACTCAGAATGTTTTAGGCCAATTGGCCTAAAAATATATAGTCTATTTTTTCTTAGGTGTCTTAAGTAGTAAACAAATATGGCGTACAGGTAACCAGAGATAATTCCACAGAAATAAAATACTATACGAGAATAATACATAGTGATGCCGATGATGAATGAATGAATGAGAACGATTGAACTTAATGGTTTTTATGCAGTGAATTTAAAGTATTGGGTAGAAATAATACGACAAGTTATTTTAATAATTTTATTATTCAGATATTCACGATAAATCACTCGATTCTTATGACTTTCATGGGTGACGTGAGAAAAGATGGTGGATCTGGGATACTTTTTCGCATTCTGGAATGCGAAGGCCCAGCGTTCGATTCGGGTTCACTCATTTTAATAAGTACCTGTCGAAAATTAATAATACAATGATATGTTCCACATTAATTTTATAACAGTTGTACACATTATATTGATATTTAGCCCTCATTGAAAAATAACTCTTCATTTATAAAATGAAGATTTAATAAAATTTTAAACCTGCTTTCATAAATCTGTAAAATAAAAACGATTGTTACCGTTTTATGCCATTTTTTTGTAATAAATAACATTAAAATATTAAACTTACCTCTAAGTGTGTTACATGCACTAAAATCACAATCGTATACTATATCGGAATCAGTAAAGGGTTGCTAAAAGTCGTCAGTCCAAAGAATAACACCGTCCAAATCGTAAAACAAACACAAATCCAGTAGAAAGCCAGGTCGTTAAAAATCAAACACAAATGAACACCCGTAACGTACGACATGAAACGTGGCAACGAAACGAATGATTCTTTCAGCGATAGGTGGTGGCCGGGATAAAAAACTCAAAATGTCGCTTGTCTATGTCTGTTTTTTAATCTCAGAGACTAAATTGACACATGCAAATGTCAAATAGTATTTTTGTTTTATTACGTTTTAAATAAGTACATACACATTATTTCAGGATAACTTATCATAACAAAATATACTTGATTTTATTAACATTAAATTACGATAGTGGCACATGATTATTAAATTGCAAAAAACTGACAACCCACGTGATGTCAATTTAGTCTCTGAAATTAAAAAACAGAACTATATAAGTCTTTTATCAATGATGTAAAGTTTCTTTTTTAATTTTTCGCCATAATATAAACGCTCGCCATAATTAATTTTTCGCCATAATATAAATTTTCTTTTTCTCTATAATATAAACTCATTTTTAAAACTTAAAACTAAAAAAGCAAAATAAGCGGTCGAGAGATCTCCGTCAGGAGCGAAGTCCCTTACTCCATTTTAATAAACAGTGCAATAAGATACGAAATAATAATAATTATAATAACAAATAAGATAAGAAATAATAATAATTATAATAACAAATAAATAATAAGTATAAGTTGATTAAATAAATAAATAAAATAGCTTTATTACTGAAATAAGTTAACATTTTACATTCCCTTTTCCCTTTTTCTAATATTAATACTTAGTTTTTGACATTAATTTAGCTTCACAATTAAATTTTTAATTTTGTTAAAATTATTAATAATTTTAAGTTAATTAAAAGCAATTAAAAAATTTCTATATTCTACAAAGACACTACTAATTTTAAAACATAATAAAATTTTAACAAAATATCGTACTTTGTAATTTAAAGATAATTTTATTTTTAAGTTCAGTTTCCATTCAATTCATTCTAATTAATGTTACATCTCTATGATTCAAAGACAAAGTAGAGTGTCGAAACGTCAAAATGTTGTGTACATATTTTACCTGTTGACATTGGTTTTGTTAACATTTCAATTTTAGCAAAATTTATGTGTTTAACTCAATAATTAATAGTTTTTATTAGTGTAATTCATAGCGTGTGTGTTTCTGAAATAGTTATAAACGATAAAACCAAATCCAAAATGTGTGATTGTCCGAAAACAAGTGATTTTCGTTCAAGATAGTATTTGTTTACCATTTAGGACACCTAAGGAAAAACGGACTTTACAAACAAAAATTTCCCATTGAAAAAGAGTTTTTTTTTCTTTATTATAATAAAATTACTTAGCTGTTTTTATTTATTAACATTTGTGGTTTATGTACTTACCTATCATGACAGTAATGAGTATTCTATTAATATTTGTATACTATTTTAGATTATCGTTATTTGGCTCCATGTTTAGTTTTATAACACTCTGATTATATATGATTATATATATACTATTCCTTACTTCTGAGGCTTATAATTAAAAATACATATTATGCTTACCTTTGGTGTTTGTATACTGAGTTCAATGTTGTATATGAAGCATTTAGGATCAATAGAAGCGGTCACCGCTGCGATACTTGGAATATTGCTCTGTTAACAACAAACAAAATATTTGAGAATAATTTATTATATTTACTCCATAACTAATATCATAAGGTCTCATCACGAACAAAGAAAAATTAGTTATATATAATAAGACAAAGGTGATTTTTTTTTTTATAATCTTTAATGCTTTTTATTTAAGACGCTCTGAACAAATACTACTTCCTGGCGCCAAACAAGAAACAGATTCAAGTTTTCGCGCCACGTGTTGACCGAATACTTTTGCCTAATATTCGGGTATTCGGCCAGAAAACCCACCGAATATTCGGTATTCGGCGCATGACTAAATATACTATTCGTCACAAGTCTAATTTAAATACTTCTTATTATATTTATTTCAATCTAGAATAATACCAATCTATTATTTACCTGATCAGGGGACGGATGTGTGACGTCAGCGCCCACCACCATGACACCGCCCTCCCTGATACACTGCGGGATGCTGCGCGATTCTAACGCTTGGTTCACGCCCATCAACTTCGAATTTACCTAATAAATATAAAATAATTCTTAATTAAATATTTACTTCGATCAACAATACTACTAAATATCGGGTCGGCGTAAGAAATCCGTCTCGTTAAATATAAGCTCACTTCCAAAGTGAGCGTATATTTCGATTAAGTTCTATGGAAACACTGCAAGCGTAAACACGTTCAATGCCGCAATGTGTATTTAAGTGTTGTTGTGTATAAAAAATATTGCGCAAAGAAGAAATTTTTACCTAGCCTTTACTTTTTTGTAGGTGTACCTACTATTACATTTGGCTTGGCACCGACTTCAAACCTATCAATAGGTAGCACATACAAATAATAGTATTTTATTAATATTAAAGGTATTAGGTTTGTATAAGAGGTGTATTAAATAAAATCTTTAAGTTATTTTATACTTTTTAGTTTTTGAAGTCGCTTTTTTTACACGTAATTTTTTTTTATTTTTTACTTTTTAGTGTCTGTAATAGGTTGTTCTGTAAACTGCAGTAAGTAATAATGGAACGGTTGGTTATAATATTTCTCAGTTTCTCTACTCCGCACGGTCACTCCACTTCAATGACAGGTAGCTTCACTTATCTGGACATATAAGTTCACGTTAATAATATATAATCAACCTAAATGAAAACTCCAAAAAAAGCCGTACCCAAACTAAAATAAAATTACATCGTCCACATAAACAAAAATGTTCATAAAATAAAAACTACTGGGCCAAACTATGTTAAATTTTTATGGAACCTAATGGCAACTAGTCCGCATCAAACTAAAGAAGAATCACTTAAATCGGATCATAAATTTTATTTTTTATAAATCGTCTAAAAGAAATTTATTAGTAAGAGATTCCATGTAGCTATAAGATCGGAACACAAGTAACTCAGTGCGCACCGCCCACATTAATTTTTAAGAATAAAATTCCTTCCCCCCTACAGCGCAGACCAATTTCGTTTAAAATAGTTTTGTAAATGAAAATGTTATACAAGAAGCCAATTTTTATCATGCTTGATTAGATCATTTTAGTATTTTTTTTAAGGTTGCTAAAATGTCACATTAAAGTATCGTCACTTCTTATTATAACAACTAGCGGCTCACACTCGCTTCGCTCGAGTACGCCACTAGGAACACAAAAACAAGCCTATCCCACGGGAACCGTACATATTCCGGGATAAAATGTAGCCTATGTGTTCTTCCAGACTATAATTTATCTCTGTGCCAAAATTGATCCAGATCCGTTCAGCCGTTCTGGAGTGAAAGAGTAACAAACATCCATACTCACAAACTTTCACATTTATAATATTTATACAGATTTATCCATACAGATAAATAAAATTAAAACGTCTATTTATAATGTCCAAGTAAAAACTTTTTACTAAATGCATAAATGCAAAAGCTATATATATATATAACTATACTAAGAAAAAAACAATTTTTGAAATTTCTGTTTGTTCCGGCTAATCTCCAAAACGGCTGGGCTGATTTCGACGGGACTTTCACTGGCATTAAGTTGATATTATAAAGAATATCTGAGCTACTTTAATTTTAGAAATATTCATAGTTCCGCTCAAAAGACTTAATACCTATGAAATTCCAAACAAAATCTGTGTTACCGTTGAGGGTAAATTTTGTATAAAAATTATTATACCTTTAGTAAAATATTCCTAATTGTTTGGTCGTTCATTCGAGTTGCTGCTGTATTCTCCTTGATACATTGTGTAAGTATACCCACCTCTAGTTCAGCTGTACGTTTTATCTGGAAATGACAAATTCAGTTAAGTAAAATTTGGACTCGTATGAATAGTTTTGTATCACAATACAATAACAAAAAAATAGGAACTTTAAATACTGAATATAAGGCACCAGTGTTTCTTGTTTATACTTTGGAATAAGCACAATATATAGCTTCACAAATTTCAACATATCTTTACAAAAGATAAAAAAAAGGAACTTAAACTTATACTTCTATATTATAAAAATATTTTATAGGTAATAAGATCCTTTTAAGGTAACTATGTTTTATGAGATATAATCATTTTAATCATTTGTACAATTTAAACGCTTATACTGTTATATCGAACATAAAATATGCTGCAATGTGAATTTAAAAAAATATACCAATATTAAAAAGCAAGGTAAAAATACCTATTTAAAAATAAAAATATAAAACCACCTTATCGTAAGCATCCTTGAATCGTCCAGGAATAATAACGATCATCATATTGATGCCCTTCTCGTATGCAGTCATCAATACTCTATGAAGATCGGTCATTTTGACGGCGAGATTAGTGAACTTCGGCTGACACACATCCATGCCCATGGAGCCTCCCACTCGCATGGTCTACAGAAAAGAAAATACCTTACGTAGTCACAGATCTAATGCAAAATCTTAAAACTAACTGAAATATTCATATCCATATTTCAAGAAACTTGTGTAACTTCAACTGTTGAGGAACAACAGTTGAAATTACAAGGCTATTTTCCATAGTGATCGTGATTAGGCTCTGATCTATACTAATATTACAAAGAGGTTAAGTTTATGAGTTTTAGTAGTCTCTGGATCTACTGAACCGATTTAGATGAAATTTGGTAAGAAGATAGTTTGAGATCCTGGGAAGGACATAAGGATACTTTTTATCCCGGAAATCATCCCTTAAGGGGGTGACAATGTTGATGAAAATTTGTACTGGGAAGCAAGCTAGGGACGAGCCCGAGCGAAGCGAGGGTGAGTCGCTAGTTCTAAATAATTATTGTATTAATTAATTATTCATATATTCTATGTATTATTTCTGTCAAAATACACTTCTTTATATGGATTTTATTTTTTCAATTTTATTCCACCAATAGTAGTATTGTTTCTGTCAAAATACACTTCTTTATATGGATTTTATTTTTTAAATTATATTCCACCAATTCGACTTTTCTGTAATTTTTATATGTAATAGTTAAATACAAAAAAAATAAACTGCATTTTTGTGGAATGTTTCACTTTGGTTGTTGGTATCGAAAAACATAATCCTCATTTTCCATCGCTTTAATGAAGCGAAAATTCTAGAAAAATCTATAATATGCAGTTCGTAATCATTTATAAATAGTTTCAATCTCATTAAGACATCTCGAGTAGTTTCGAAAAAAAAAACCATTTAACGTTAAGGGGTGTCACCCCATGACTCCCTTATTAATGGCGGTTTAGATAAAGAACAATAAATATAAGGTAACAACTCTTTGACGCTAGTACAGTTGTCATATACTTACTCCGCTACTCTTAAATCTATTAAACTCTAGAAAATGTAAATCTTCCAAAAGATAACATAATTTCAAGCCCGTGAAATCATTCATGAAAAGAGATATTAAATATACTCTAACACTCTCACTGAGACTAGCCAAGCAAAGCTAAATAAAAATATGTAAGGATATTAACACACAACACCATCTAGTTCCATGGTAAGCTACGAGGCTTGTGTTATGGATAACAGATAGTCGATACATTATACTCATATAACTTTAAATACATACATATTATAGAGAAGATATTATAACACAGTGTGTATGTGGCAATCACACAGTGCGATAGTGCACTATTCCTGTCCTAAAGGGACTTTGAGACTTAAAAGATACCTTTAAGTCTCAAAGATCAATGAAACCATGACATAGTTTCCTTCTGACCAATTTCAGTTACAGTGATGGGTTTCAATGATAGTAGCGCCATCTATGGAGAAGTTAAAATATTTCATCCGGTGCTACATTTAGTGGTACATACAGCGATGACTCTTTGTTCCGTTACTGATCAGGGAAAGCGAATGTCATATGAAAGTCGTGGTTTCTATTGAATATTTTTTAATAGTAATTATTTAGGGCCGATCCAGGGTCTCGAATCCAGGACCTCATGATGTGCAACCCGCAAATATTTTATCGAATAATAACATAAGAATTTTCCAATAAAATTGATATATACAGAGTGCAAAATCGCAGATACAATGTACATAATATGTAGATAGTTCATCATTATATTATTACTGTAACTCGCGTCATATAAAAAGAACACTGGCTATCAAGAAGCGATTTAGCGGTCAAATTGGTGGTAACAGGTGGGGCGCGGGGCGGCGGGGGGCGGCGCGCTATTGGCTCGTCAGTTCGAAATACCATCGCGCACACAAAAGTTTTTAATTACGAAATGGTTTTATATATAGAAAGAGAGAAAAATTATTTTTGACGTATGTTTTATAAAGAGAGAGTCTGATAATAATGCAGTTATTAATAAAAAAAAATGTATTAAACGTATTAATTTAATTTTTTGTAAGTAGATTAAACATTCTACAATGAATCAAACATATTTTAATAATGAATGGAATATATTTTTCAATGTATAACTCGCGTCATGTAAAACGAAGAGTTCATATATAAAGATTAAAACATTTTACACTGAAACAAACATGTTATTAATTCTATTTAATGACAAAGGTTGATGATTCTATTTAAAATAAAAAAATAATATTTTTATATAATATATTTTTCAATGTCCCTACCAATAACTAATATATGAAGCCGCGTGCAAAATGCTATGAAAAATAAAATAATAGGCTTAGTACTTTTGTGCGCGAGTATACCCATGCGCAAACATACCCTCTCCACTTTCTTCCAGCGTTCTTATTACAAGACTCGAGTTATAACTTACCATATCTATAACTCTTTGACAGTCACACCGTCGAGTGTCTATTTCTACGGCAATCAAACCCCATGAAGTCAACGCGCTCGCCTTTAAGAAGCGGTTGGCTTGCCATACTCCTTTTCTGTTTATAACACAAATTAATAATTATGATTAAAATAGGACTCGTATTATAAATTCAAAAGTGTACACGTTTGTTACACGCTCACGCTAAAACTGGACAGTTTTGAAACCTGGAGTTAAAACATGGAGTACTTTTTAACATCTAGGGACATACTTGAATGAAGGTATGTCATTAATAAAATAATTTATATGTCAATCCAATTTGGTTGTCTTGTTAATGGGTTTCAAATGGTGCCAGTTGGAATATGATATGATAATAGAACTATCTTTTCGGCTGTTTTGTGGTATTTATTTTGATTTAAAAATCCGAAAAGATAAGTTTTATTTAAAATGTCAAATATTCGCGTAAATCTAAGAAAGTATTATCTATACTAATATTATAAATGTGAATGTTTGTGAATATGGATGTATGGATGTTTGTTACTCTTTCACGCCAGAACGGATGAACGGATCTGGATGAAATTTGGCACAGAGATTATGGTCTGGAATAGCATATAGGCTACATTTTATCCCGTTAAAATATACGGTTCCCGAGGGAAAGATTTGATTATGTTTTGATTGTGTTTGTATGATAATAAATTACTTCGCCAATGTCATAGAGTGTAGAAGAAAAAATATGTTTTAACTGACGTTTCGGTTCGACACTCGCTGCATGCCAAAACTCGATCGTCTACCCCGCGGGAACTGTTTATTTACGAAGATAAACACTAACTTGTTACATTTCGAATATAAAATATTCGATTGAAGTATAAAAATTTAAAAAATCGCGCCACTGTACGAATGTCCTTTTATAATTAAAAAACCGTTCTTCTAATTTCTTTTATCGTGCGGAAATCTATTTTTTTTCTTTTGGTAATAGTAAATGGCTTACTACTTTCCCTTTGTGCCAATAAAGAGCTCGTTAAAAACTGACAATACAACTTTAATGTAAGCTTAGCTTAATTTTCAGCTTTACAACAGATGGCGCTAGCTTAGAATATTGAATGAAAATAAAGAATTAGAAAGTAATAATAATTAATAATCATTACCTGGGTTCTACAGTTCTACCGGCTCCGATGTCCAATTTGGGGGCAGGCAGAACCTTAGCATCTACTCGCAGGAATTGATTACTGACCTCCATCTTGAAATGTCTGAAGCATGGATTTGCTGAATAGTTCATCTGTTAACAATAAACAAAATTGTTTAAAATCATTATATAATCTATATATATAGAAAACTAGCGACACATCCTTGCTTCGCTCGGTTGATTCCCCATACAAACATTTATCCCCATTTTCACCTCCTTAAGGGATGATTTCCGGAATAAAAAATATCCTATGTCCATCCCAGGGTCTCAAACTATCTTAGCAAATTTCATCTAAGCCGGTCCAGAAGTTTTTGGTTAATTCGTTACAAATATACAAAAATACAAAAGTATTTCTTGAAACTTGACAAAATTATAGTATCCAATCAAAATTAATTTTATTTTAAATATTTAAATAGTATTGTTAGGAAGCTACCAATGGCTCGGAAGACAGTTCTGCTGATAGAGACGGCTGAGAAGATCTTGATTGAGATGAAGATCTTGAGGTTTATATCTACTAGAATGGCATATATATATTCTCCTGCTGACCGATTTCCACGGCGGCCAAACTGAGTTAGACTAGCCATCTACACAAGAAATATTATAATGCACAAGTATGCTCGCAAACATAAGTGCACTGTAGTGGCGAAGGCTGAAATTTTATATATGAAATATACAATTTAAATAAAAAAGTAAGAAATGTAATCGTGAAGATATTTTTTTCTTAATAATAATAAGGCTTTAATATTTTACATACATTTTTACAAAAAACCGTCTAGTTTTTAAATGCACATATATAAAACATTGTTGCAAAATACATTTTACACTTAATAAAATAATAAAACGGCATATTTTTCTTATAGGCTATAACTATACTAGTGAGAGTTAAGGAGCAAGACCGACGGCTTTACGTGCTCTCCGAGGCACGAGGGTGAAACACCGCCAACTTCCCAACTCCGGGCTGTTACTGAGAATTTCTCAATGGAAAAACTCAATAGTTATACTTGGCCCTACCCGAGAGTCCTAATTCGAACACAGGATCACCGGATCTGCAGCCGTACATGCTAGCCACTAGACCACTGAGGTAATTGCATACAAACACGCATACTAACACACGCAGACACATACTTTCGTGTATATAAAATAGTAGTCCAATAATATAAAAAAATTAACTCACGTTGCTAATAACTTCTTTTATTTTATTCATACGGTCACTGGGTGGGGTGGCAGCTTCTCGTACCATCGTTTTCAGCTGATTTTCATTCAGTTGCTTGTTCAAAGCCTGTTTAAATTTCACTAAGTAAATACTTAGATGTACCCAGGAATACTCTCACACATTATTTATTTTATTTATTATATTATTAATATAAGATTAATAAATTCTTTCTTAGTTAAACAATATAATTGATTGTAGTTACATCAAAAACAAAAAAAATGTAAATAAAATACTTTAAGTAATTATATAGTGACTATATGAAAACAATTTCATTATCAGTTTTTAAATATGACTCCAACAGTAGCACCAAAAATGAGTTTATATCATGTATCCAGTCTATAATATGTATCGAGGATATAGGCTATCCCATTATTAATGTCACTATAATCCATTTTAATGTTACAGCTTGAACAAATACACACAAATATGTACTCTAACAAACATTCTTATATATTTCACCAACCTGTCCATATGACACTTCCAATAACTCCATAGGATAATATATTTTCTTATCCCTTGGTCCTACCCACATACAATTCAAATGTGGATAACGCAATCTGCAAAAAAATATAAATTTAACCATAACATTAAATATTAGTATAATACACAGCGACAGAACATTTAAATTCAATTTTCTTATTAATGACTTCAAATCGTGCCAGTTGAGCACAGATTACTTCGGCAATATCACGTAGAATGAAGAAGACGCAAAGCACAGAACGTTCAAATAATACACCTATATTACCGACTGTCCACAATTTCATAGAACTGAAGAGATATTCAGAAACATAAAAAAACCTAAAAAGATAATACTTTCTTAGATTAACGCGAATGTTTAATATTTTCTTTATAGAGCAATCATGATCACATGACAGTATCTCAACAAAAATAAAAAAAATTTGGACGAAATAAAGAAAAAGTACTTAACAGTACATGTTAATTAAAAAAAAATCTCATATAATTCTATATTAAATATTATTTTATTCCATTTTATTAGTAAATTTACCTGCAATTCTTCTCTTCGAAGTACTTAGCGACGGTTATATTTGTTGTCTTTCCCGCTGAATCCGTCATGGGGAATGTTAGCCGGTTGGGGTTGTCCACGATGGTGTTGCAGATGTACTCGCGCCTTTTGTTTGAACCCGCTAAATTAGCTGTTACCTGATTACAAAAAAGAGCTTATTTAATATCAATTATGTTAAGCAGAACCCGCGGCTACCCTTGCACTGAAACTACTAAAAAGAAACTCTTTGGCTTTATGCTATTAGTAGTAACTAATAATGTATGGAAGTCTGCCCGGTTTGTTGACATTTATGATTACTGCTCCTCTCTCTTGGGTAGTAGCATGGTGATTGGTGATATATAGCCTATATATAGCCTTCCTCAGGAAACGGACTATCTAATGCAAAAAGATTTTTTTTAATCGGATTTGTAGTTCCTGAGATTAGCGGGTTCAAACAAACGAACAGAGGAACAAACAAAGAAACAAACTCTCTTCCTTTATAATATAAAATAGTATAGATTTTAGGCCATTGCAATATTTGATTATTTAAATCTATTTGATATAAAATAGAAATAAAAATCATGCATATAATTGTACACCTTTTAATGTCACTATTTTCTTCCTTTTTACAAATTCTATCAAAAGCCTAATTTATATAATACTTTCTTAGATTTACGCGAATATTTGACATTTTAAATAAAACTATCTTTTCGGATTTTGTCGCGGATTTATTTGCATTTTTGTTTCCCGACGTTTCGAATGCTTTACAGCATCCATGGTCACGGGAGTGAGTCTCTCCCGTGACCAAAAATGCAAATAAATCCGCGACAAAATCCGAAAAGATAGTTTTATTTAAAAAGCCTAATTTATAAAAAGGTTAATAAAAAATGTTAAAGTATTAAAAGGATGTATGTGTATTTGTATGTGCCTACAGATTTATCTTTGTTTCTGAAGAAACACCGTGGTACATGTACTATTCAATATCTTTTAATGTCAATACTGTAATAGTTGCATAAATAGCGATAATACAAGCTTTTTCAATTGGACATAATTGTCAAAAAATGTCAATAAAAATTATATATAAATATACAATTAATCCATTGATGATAGTTTACTAGATATGAACAAAAAGAGTACATACATAAATTGTACACATATTGTATATTTTTAAAAAGCATATCAAGTCGATCATAGCTTTCTCACAGCCTTACAATTCTGACCATTAAGTATAAATGTTAATAAGTATTTGATCGATTAAAATATAATAGATACATACCCTTAAGCCTTTAAGGAATTGAATAAAATATTCAACCCCCCACTGTCTGTCTAAGGGTTTGTTTGGATCAAGGCGGAAATCCCTCATTAGAGCATCAACCAAAGACTGTTGCTTTGGAAAACCTTTGTGGGCCACTGTGGAAATATAAAATATTATTGTAATAATTAAAACAAAAATACTGACTTAAAAAAGATATGTTTACATAACAACCGAAAAATCTATACTAATATTATAACGGAGTAAATTTTTGAGTTTGTGACGTTGTAGGGGATAATCTCTGGATCTACTGAACCGATTTAAATGAAATTTGGTAAGAAGATAGTTTGAGACCCTGGGAAGGACATAGGATACTTTTTATCCCGGAAATCATCCCTTAAGGTGGTGAAAACGGGAATGACGTTTGTATGGGGAATCAAGCTAGGGACGAACCCGAGCGAAGCGAGGTTGAGTCACTAGTAATTTATAAAGGGGTTTAGACATTTTACTGTGAAAGCAGGCATGAGCGTCGAAATATAGACCCCAAAACTATAGTTATTGAAATTTTTGTCCGTTTATCTGTTTGCCTTTCACGCAAAAACGTACTGAACGGATATTAATAGTCATAAATGATTACTCGGATCAACGAATTCTCATAATACTCGTATGTAGATAGAACCTACAAATATTTCGGAAATCTGACACTTTAAAGCACTATATTGTTTTTATTTATTTTTGTGATATACATGGGTTATTTTTATCTTTACATAGTATAAAATTAAGTCGCTTTCGCTGTCTGTTCGCTTAGATCTTTTAAACTACTCAATGGATTTTAATTCAATAGATAGTGATTCAAGAGGAAGGTTTATGTGTATAATACATGCATATTATAGTATAGAAAAGCCGAGAAATTCAAAGATTTGTATTCATATTAACTGTGAAAACGTACGTGTAGGTACGAACCCAAGTGAAGCGAGGGCGAGTTGCTAGTAATTGATATATATAATAATCAGTAACTTACGCTCGCTTCGCTCAGGTTCGTCGTCGTTAGTCGGAAGTAAAAATAAAACTATCCCACGGGAACCGTACATTTTTCCGGGATAAAAGTAACCTATGTGCTATTTATTCTAGACTATAATCTCTGTGTCAAATTTCATTCAGATCCGTTAGCCGTTCGGACGTCATTGAGTAACAAACATCCACCCAAACTTTCGCATTTATAATATTAATAATAATGGGATAGTGGGATTTACCATCGATATTTATGAAGGCCCGTGATGTGAAGATTGCAGACTGGAAAAGCCCCGTCCACATTTCTAATCCATAGCTCAAGTCTATTGGGTTTCTTGGTCGTTTAAAGAATTGACGCCCAGCCTATGGATAGATTTAATATAATAAAAGCTAATATGTTAAAATAATATAATAGTTAGCCTTTTTAACGACCTTACGTTTTGTATTCTTATATTTTAAGTCTTAAGAGTATTTTTATTGACCGACTTCAATGTTTTCTTTTGTATATTTTATAATATTTATACATATATTATAAACAGATTATATTTTTTTATCTGGTAATGAATTATGGCGACAGAATAATTATTTTTACAAGCTTCTATTTCGTTTTTAATAAAATAAGAAACAAATTTATTTATAGTCTACTATTGTTCTTCATGAGTTTAAATCAACATAGTTAATAAAAAGATATACAAATTTCTAAATTATTTTTAAAATAGCTATACCACCATTAGAGGCGACATTCTTTTTTAAATTTAATTAAATTCATTACAATAAAAAAATATAATAGCCTGTTCACGGAACAAAGACATCATCTATATTAACACGCGACACAAATAAAAATATACACTCGAATTCAATACCTCCTCCTTTTTACCAGACTGCAGCGAAGCCCAAAGGAGGGTTATGTGTCTTGTTATGTAAAAATGTAAATAATTTTTTTATTAGTGTACTCTTACCTTTACATAATTTTCAAGGGTCCCTTGCTGTAAAATAACATCTATGCATTGTATGGCTTCCATCGGAGGATTAAGCGAAGTTCCGCCGGTTTGCATATGACTAAAATCACAAATTTTATTATAATAGGTATATTGTGTTTAATATCTTCACTACATTGGTAATATAATTCTTCAGCATTTCTTTATTTAATCTATACTAATATTATAAAGAGGTAAAGTTTGTGAGTTTGTGACATTGTGGGGGGTAACCTCTGGATCTACTGAACCGATTTAGATGAGTTGATAAGATAGTTTGAGACACTGGGAAGGACATAGGATACTTTTTATCCCGGAAATCATCCCTCAAGAGGGTGAAAATGGGGATGAAAATTTTGTATGGCGAATCAAGCTAGGGACGAACCCGAGCGAAGCGAGGGTGAGTCCCTTGTATAATATATTTTGAGTAATTATTTCTTTTAGTTTTTTTAACTAATATTTCAAAAGTTGACAAACAATGTATGTTGAAAGTAACTGTATTCGAGAAAAAATTATACAACCATCGACACAGATTTAAATGTACCGAAATTAATAACTTAACTTCATAAACTTCGATCAACATTACTACTAGATAACGTGTCACATACAAAATCAAAGCTATATTCTGTCCGAATATGTACTTATACAACTACATTTGTATACTAACGAACCAAGACAAAGTCTTATAATAGTTTTATTTTCAACCTAATCAACACCATAGCACCTTGTAATAAAGTTACAAATCTTCAAATTATCATCATACACTTACTATCATTTCGTAAGTTTTATAATCTTTATTGTAAAATCAACCTTATAACAAAAAACTCAAAGCACTTTATCCCGTTGTTGCTTTGTGAGCTGAATCGTCGTTTTGTTTGTTTGCTTCTTAGAATTTGCGCCTGTATTGGCCGACCTGGGCCAACGTTCTTAGCGAATTTAAAATTGTTCAAAATTTCATTTTTATAATACTTTCTTAGATTTACGCGAATATTTGACATTTTAAATAAAACTATCTTTTCGGATTTTGTCGCGGATTTATTTGTATTTTTGTTTCCCGACGTTTCGAATGCTTTACAGCATCCATGGTCACGGGAGAGACTGAGGTGTTACATGTCTTAAAGATATAGTTGTTACAGACAGCCTACCCACAATTAACAAAATGAAAATTGCACCAATTACATTACAATATTTTAACTTTAAATATTTTTATAATTTTAATTATAATTGAATATGGAAAATTATTTATTTAATTTTTGCTATTATTTTTATAATTATTACAATTTTAAAAATATTAATTAACAATCTATATTTAGTGTTGCCATTATTATATTCATAACCATAAGAAAAATATAAAATATAGTATTAATTATTTAAGCCACAATTGATCTATGTGTAATTTGAAAAAGTTAAGATTAATTAAAAAATAATAATTTTAATTTAAATTTGCTATTATTTAAAAACAAATTATTAAGCAACACATTACTACATACATTTACAAATGAAAAAGTGAAAAAATATATTATTAATCAGAAATGCTATCATTTTGATCTACACAGTAAGAACTTACTACATCTACCTGTCTGTTATGTTTAGATTTATTATTAGATTTTATTATATTAATAACAGGATCCCATGACGATGGTAGTACCCAGCCATCTTCCCTATTGAAATTAGGATGTTTTTTAATTTCTATGGCTTCTCGAATCATTCTAGGGCGATATCGGTTTTCTTTCGCCAGGATTTGAGGCCTATCGAAGCGAATATAATGGCTTGGGCGGTCCTGACTGTGTTTGCAGACAGCAGATGTTGTATTGCGACGGTGCTTCACATCAGCTATGTGTTCTTTGACCCGGGTTCTAATGGATCTCTTTGTTTGTCCGATGTAAGAGAGCCCACAATCACAATCAAGCTTGTAAACTCCTGCATCTTGTAGAGGGATGTGGCACTTGACAGGTGGTAGAAACTGACTAATTTTCTTTGGCGGCTTGAAGTAAGTTTTAATTGAAGCTCGCTTTAGAATGTAGCCAATCTTGTCAGTGACGCCTCTCATGTAAGGTAGGACTGCAGGGACGCGCTCGACTGTGGCTGGTTTCACTCGGTCCCTGTGACGTAGGCGCGGCACTTGCAGCTTGTTGTCTCGCAGAACTTGCTTGACATGTTGCAGTTCTCCGGCCAGGTGTTGCTCGTCACAGATCCCGCGTGCCCTCTGAAACAAAGATTTTCCCACGGTAGCTAACTGTGAAGGGGGGTGGTGAGATTCACCATTCAAGTACCTATCAGTATGGGTCTTCTTTCGATACACAGTATGACTCAAGGTGTTATCTGGGTTACGTATGACTAATACATCTAAGAAAGCTAAAGAATTATTAGACTCCAATTCCATTGTAAATTGTATTTTAGGGTTTATGGAGTTAAGATGTTCTAAGAATACAGATATTTTATCAGATGGTAATATTGTGAAAGTGTCATCTACATACCGCTTGTAGAAACGAGGGGTCACAGGTGATGTGTTTAGGGCGGTCTCCTCGAAGGCCTCCATGAAGATGTCAGCTACAACGGGAGAGACCGGCGAACCCATGGCCACTCCATCCACTTGCTTGTAGAATTCATCATTCCACAATAGATAGCCAGATGTAAGGCAGTGTTTCAAAAGTTCAGTGTATTCTTCTTGCATACTATTATCCCGTAGCTTTCTTGATACTATTTTGACACAGTCCTCTACTGGTAGGTTGGTGAATAGAGACTGTACATCAAAACTGACCATAGTTTCATTGTCCATGAGTTGTAGGTGTTTTATCTCATTGACAAAATGGTATGAGTCCCTTGTAAACGCTGATGTTTGTCCTCTGAGTGTTGAGAGTACTTTCGCTACTAGTTGGGCCAATTTATAAGTCGGTGTGTCGATTTGACTCACAATTGGACGTAGCGGAGCGTTAGATTTGTGTATCTTTGGAAGTCCATACAGTTTAGGCGGCTTTGCACAAGATGGAACAAGATTTTTGACATCAAGATTCAATGCATCGGAGTGTTTCTTAATAAGCTTTTTAGTATTATTTAACACAGTGGTGGTTGGGTCTGTTTTGACCTTTTTATATGTACTTTCATCCGACAAAAGTTGTTTAATTTTCTCATTGTAATCTGATGTATCCATCACGACGGTGGCATTTCCCTTGTCTGCGCGTAGTATGATAATGTCTGACCTGCTGCGTAAGTTCTTCAACGCTAAATACTGTTGTTTGTTGAGATTAGGTTTGGGCCTTGAGCTACGACGTAACAAAGATGAAACATCTTGACGTATGGCCTCCATATCCTCAGATTTCATAGTATTTTTGGCCAGAGCATCTTCAACTGCACAAATAATATTCTCATAAGGGATGCGTGTCGGCGCAACAGCAAAATTTAAGCCTTTACTTAGTACTTGAATAGTAGATTCGTCCAATGTTTGTTTTGACAGATTGACAACTGTTTGACGTACGCACGAATTTGAAACTGTGGTAGACGGGCGCGTTCCGTTATTGTTTTTGGTTTTCTTTTTGATGTTATATTTCTCGACTAATTTTTGGTATTTTAATATATGTTTGTTTTTGCATTGGTTAAATTTAGATGTTTCGCGCCGTTGTAGCTGACATCTTCATGGAGGCCTTCGAGGAGACCGCCCTAAACACATCACCTGTGACCCCTCGTTTCTACAAGCGGTATGTAGATGACACTTTCACAATATTACCATCTGATAAAATATCTGTATTCTTAGAACATCTTAACTCCATAAACCCTAAAATACAATTTACAATGGAATTGGAGTCTAATAATTCTTTAGCTTTCTTAGATGTATTAGTCATACGTAACCCAGATAACACCTTGAGTCATACTGTGTATCGAAAGAAGACCCATACTGATAGGTACTTGAATGGTGAATCTCACCACCCCCCTTCACAGTTAGCTACCGTGGGAAAATCTTTGTTTCAGAGGGCACGCGGGATCTGTGACGAGCAACACCTGGCCGGAGAACTGCAACATGTCAAGCAAGTTCTGCGAGACAACAAGCTGCAAGTGCCGCGCCTACGTCACAGGGACCGAGTGAAACCAGCCACAGTCGAGCGCGTCCCTGCAGTCCTACCTTACATGAGAGGCGTCACTGACAAGATTGGCTACATTCTAAAGCGAGCTTCAATTAAAACTTACTTCAAGCCGCCAAAGAAAATTAGTCAGTTTCTACCACCTGTCAAGTGCCACATCCCTCTACAAGATGCAGGAGTTTACAAGCTTGATTGTGATTGTGGGCTCTCTTACATCGGACAAACAAAGAGATCCATTAGAACCCGGGTCAAAGAACACATAGCTGATGTGAAGCACCGTCGCAATACAACATCTGCTGTCTGCAAACACAGTCAGGACCGCCCAAGCCATTATATTCGCTTCGATAGGCCTCAAATCCTGGCGAAAGAAAACCGATATCGCCCTAGAATGATTCGAGAAGCCATAGAAATTAAAAAACATCCTAATTTCAATAGGGAAGATGGCTGGGTACTACCATCGTCATGGGATCCTGTTATTAATATAATAAAATCTAATAATAAATCTAAACATAACAGACAGGTAGATGTAGTAAGTTCTTACTGTGTAGATCAAAATGATAGCATTTCTGATTAATAATATATTTTTTCACTTTTTCATTTGTAAATGTATGTAGTAATGTGTTGCTTAATAATTTGTTTTTAAATAATAGCAAATTTAAATTAAAATTATTTTTTAATTAATCTTAACTTTTTCAAATTACACATAGATCAATTGTGGCTTAAATAATTAATACTATATTTTATATTTTTCTTATGGTTATGAATATAATAATGGCAACACTAAATATAGATTGTTAATTAATATTTTTAAAATTGTAATAATTATAAAAATAATAGCAAAAATTAAATAAATAATTTTCCATATTCAATTATAATTAAAATTATAAAAATATTTAAAGTTAAAATATTGTAATGTAATTGGTGCAATTTTCATTTTGTTAATTGTGGGTAGGCTGTCTGTAACAACTATATCTTTAAGACATGTAACACCTCAGTCTCTCCCGTGACC